CTATTTTCTTACGCGGATCACTTTTGTGTGGACACTATTATCGGTTTCGTACGTCATCTGGCGCGAGCAGATGTTCTTTTTTGAGATGGGGAAAATCCGTTCTCAAGTTCGTCTCAAGCCGTTCTCAAGTCGTTCTCAACTTCTTCTCATACTGACAACCAATGATAATGAATTAAGCATGCTACCGGTAGGTGGTATAAAGTGGTATACAGATGATAAATCCCTTTATCATATATATTCCTCTGAATACCACCTACCAGCTGTATGATAAATCCCTTTATTATATATATTCTTCTGAATACCACCTACCAGCTGTATGATAAATCCCTTTATTATATACATTCCTCTGAATACCACCTACCAACTGTATGATAAATCCCTTTATTATATATATTCTTCTGAATACCATCTACCAGCTGTATGATAAATCCCTTTATCATATATATATTCCTCTGAATACCACCTACCAACTGTATGATAAATCCCTTTATTATATATATTCCTCTGAATACCACCTACCAACTGTATGCTACACCCATTTATCATCTATATACCACTTTATACCACCTACCAGCTGTATGATAAATCCTTTTTCCATATATATACCACTTTATACCACCTACCAGTTTGTTTGTTTGTTTGATTTTGTTTAACGTCCTATTAACAGCTAAGGTCATTTAAGGACGGCCTCCCCTGTGTGCAAGATGCATGCGTGTAGTGTATGTGTGTGTATTTTGGGAGGCTGCGATATGTTCGTGTTTGTCTCCTTGTGATAGCGCGGAACTGATGCCGACTTTAAAGTGCTACCTGATAAATCCCTTTATTATATATATTCCACTTTATACCACCTACCAACTGTATGATAAATCCCTATATATGAGAAGTATTGAACGACAGTGAGATACAAAAATATGATACACAAACGGTTTTCCAATGAGCTAGCACCATCATTATTCATAGGTTATATAGGGAAAACATTTTTTGGAACGACATATGGATATTTATATAGATTTACAAATACTTCGATACCATTCTATACAAAACAAGTGTTTTAGGTGTTATTAGCACGTAATGATATCACTTACCATGGAGTTGTACCGGTTTTAGTCAAATGTAGATGTATTTTCTAAAATCTATGCTGTTTTTCTTAATATTTTGTGTTTGATTCACAGCCAAAACGATACAGGCTTGAAATTGGACAAGAATATTTGTGAAATCCTTGCGATTCAAAAGAAAACTAAAACCATATATATTCCAACTAAATCAGTTATCGCAGTGATATACACTATGTGTCTCAGTCTATCCGGAAAAAAACGTTCCTCGAAGTATAACTTTCCCCGTCATGTTTTCCATGAACCGAATCTTGCCTATGTAAGCAGTAAGCAAATAACGCACTTTCAGCACTTTCGTAATAGTAGCAGATGCTTATCTTTTATATTTTTGCTAAACGGGATTAAAACATTGTTGTCTCAGACCAGGTACAAAAGTACTGACGCGTTTTGACGTTGCGTAACTTCCCGATAACCTTTTCATCCATTGTCGCCAATTCTTATCTAGGGCGAATACAGTATAGACGCAAGACGGTGCTAACTCTTCTCAAGTCAGTTTGGTGGTAATCGTTTCTTATACATGTATGTTAGTAGTATATGCTTATTTTGGTGATCAACATGAGAAGAAGATTCTTTTAAACGACCGCAACTACGTTCAACAACAGATTAGTGATCCACGTGGTTCAAGGGAGAAATGCAGACTCTACAGACCAATGTCCAGGCTCAAACAAGTGAGCTACAGAACCTACGGGCAACAGGACAGACACTGGACGCTAAGCTGCAGAACCAGACTAGGAAAATATCTTCTCTCGAGCAATAATTAGCACATTCAAACAATGGTTAGTTGTATATTTTACTGCATTATTAGTAATTGTATGCAATGTTTGTTTCCACAGGAAAGTAACATATTGAGAAAGTTATGCATCAAAGAATTTTGTTTTATATACGATCACCTATGCCAGAAACCAGATCTGTTTTGTTGATTTTTTTATCAACGTCAATATCTCTTTTCGGACATAAATTCAATGGAATATGAGATCAGATAATAAAAGACCAAGCGAATAGAAAAGTGTCTACAAAACCGTGTGATTCGAACTCAAAATCTATAAAACTAGAGACAAATATGAACAAAGGAATGAAGATGTACATATGTCCATGTATAAGTGCATGAGAAAGTATTAGGAAAGTAAGACCAGGTGTTCTGGAAGGTTGTCTCCTGTTTCATCGAAGGCAGCCGCCATATAAATCTAAATACAATCACAGTAATGACACGTCTTAATAGCGGGAACTGGGTGACAACGAAGGAACAAGGCATACAAATAAGCATGATCAAAACCAACGACTTTCATATCACACAAAATCAAATAAAAAAAATGCGCTTTTCTGAATGAGATCATGATGTCGACCGTAAATCTTGTCTATGGACTTCATCTACTTGAACGTTTGGAAACCCTTTGTTGTAAGTCGGTCCGTCAGCAGTTGACATCCACCATGAACATCATGATATTCAGACCAGGTTCTTGAATACTGAAATCTCTGTGACATTCTAACACAGAAGGCTAGGAATGCTGGGTTGATATTATCAAGAAAGGAAATATTCAGGATAGGAAAATCGAAATCAGTCGTCATGCTTATCGCTCAGCTAGGAAGAAGGTCGTCCTTCTTGGTAATGCTGTAAATTAAGAATGAAGAAGAAAGCTACACTAGAGCCTGTAAGTGTCCTTGAATTCAAGTTTAGGAGGGTATATACGATCGAAGTAGTTAAATAAGGTTCTTACTATTTAATGATAGCACTTCGTCAATATATTTGAAAGTGAAATCAAGAGACTTGGAACGGTTTTTTCCCTTTGCAGTCCTAATAAGCTCTTCAATAAATTCAGCCTCATATTAAAAACAAAAACAAACGAATGAAAAAAGGCAAAATTCCCATAGGAATGCTAACAGTCTGCTGAAGTAAAGAAAATAATTGTCAACCGGGCACTCATCCATTCTCACAACTTCACCCTCAGTATACTTCATTTTAACCTTTGATGTGCTTTCACATGTAGTTTAACATAGAATGATATTTAGGAACAAGAGGCCCAGAGGGCCTGTATCACTCACCTGAATATTTAAGCAGTCTAAGCAAAATATTCTCTTTAAATATTATATTGCACTAAAAATATTTCCCTCGCAAACTTTGTTGGCTCCATCTGTTTAAACTACCAGCAAAATATTATTATAAGATTCTATGCTTTTTGATTCTTCTTCAGAAGTTGCTTGACATATTTTTTCCTGTGAACTTGTAAGTAGGTCAATGTCATTTTACTTCTCAAATTGGTTAGCTCCATTCCAAAAAGCTACCAGCCAAATCTAATGAATCCATTTCTTTTAGTTCTTAAGAACAAATCCTTTAAAATGTTGTTGACCTCTGTGACCTCTAAAGTAGGTTGAGGTCATTTTCATTCGCAAACTTTGTTTGGCACTTTCCCAGGAAATAACCAGCCAAATTTAAGGTTCTATACCTTCTAGTTCTTCAGAAGGGTTGTTCTAACCGTTAGACATATCTGACTTCTGTGACCTTGAAAGTAGGTCAAGGTCCTTCTCAAACTTTGTTGGGCTCTTTCCTAGGAAGCTTCAAGCCTAATATTAAGGTTCTACACCTTCCAGTTCTTCAGAAGAAGTCATTGGAAGTGTTTGACATATCTGCCTCATGTGACCTTAAAATTAGGTCACGGTCATTTTCATTCTCAAACTTTATTGGTCTCTTTCCCATGGAGTCACCATCCAAATATTTAGGTTCTATAACTTTCAGTTCTTCATAATGAAGTCGTTTTAAGCATTAGACATATCTGACTCCTGTGACCTTGAAAGTAAGTGAAGGTCATTTTCATTCTCAAACTTTGTTGGGCTCTTTCCCAGGAAGCTACAGGCCAAATATTAAGGTTCTATACCTTCCAGTTCTTCAGAAGAAGTAGTTTGAACCGTTTGATATATTTGACCCATGTGACCTTGAATGAAGGTCAAGGTCATTTTCATCCTCAAACTTTGTCGGGCTCTATCCCAGGAAGCCTTCAATCAAATATAAAAATTCTATACCGTTCAGTTCTTCAGAAGAAGGCGTTTGAAGCATTTGACATATTTCACCCCTGTGTTCTTGAAAGAAGGTCAAGGCCATTTTTATTCGCAAACTTTGTTCGACTTATTCCATGGAATCTACCTACCAATTGTCATGTCTCTAAACCTTTCGGTATTTCAAAAGAAGTTGTTTGAAGGTTTTTACATATTTGACCCCCGTGACCTTGAAAGTTGGTCAAATTCTGTTTTTTTCGCAAACTTTGTCGGGCTCCATATAAGGAAGCTACCAGCCAAATATCATGACTCTATGCTTTCTGGTTCTTCAAAAGAAGTCGTTTAAAGGAAAGTTGACGGACGCCGGACAGACGACAGACGACGGACGCCGCACCATGGCATAAAAAGAGAACGAATGCGTTCGGTAACCTTGGTTTTGGGGTATGGTAAAGAGTGGAAAAGTCAAAAGTTCTGATAAGAGAAACATTTTGAGATGAGTATACTTAAAGTTGATCAAAAACATTATATCCCAAATGTGGCTTCTGAGTGCATTATGTGCATTATTGTCGCAAATATGCTATAAATGCGGTCATTGGAAAAAGTTTTATAAGATATAATGTGTGATGCTGCGCTCGGATTCGAATTAGGGACATTCCAACGCCCAGTAATGCTCACGTTTTATTGTGAGCGATAGATTTTAAGGATGTTAGATATCTAGTCTCTCTTACAGCAAAAGTTAGAAAGAAAGGTATACGTGTTGAAGTTATAACGAACAATAATATTACGTAATGCTCTTTAAATATCTTTGTAATGCAAGCATATGTTTATCTTTTTATCGTGGGAAAAAGTACTGTTTCACACCTTGTAACAATCCTATGTATTGGCTCGGTTTAACAACGTGTCAGATCCCGATAACGTTTTCATGTGTTGTTGTCGCCACACAGGTAAACAGAATAGACGCAAGATGGTGCTGGCCTCTATTCGAGTCAGTTTGGCGGTATTAGTATCTTATATGTTAGTAGTACATGTTTATTCTGATGACGAACATGAGAAAAGGATTCTTTTAAATGACCCAAACTACGTGCAGCAACAGATGACCCATCTCCAGGGGGAGCTACAGAGTCTCCAGGTCACTGTACAACATCTGTTACATTCAAAAACTGGTTAGTAGACTTTATCACTGTACTGATGCTAGATTGTTGCAAGAAAAACTGCAACATTCTGTTTAAGACATTTATATATATGATCTTACATGAGTTTTCTTTTCATATGAGATTTATGAAATATGAGTCTCTGGCGAGCTAAAATGAAAAATTCGTGACGAGTTTCATAAATTTCATATGTTCCTTTTTATCACATAATCAAGATAAAACGACAATTTTTTATGCAACCCTAAAATGGAAAAAGCCGCCATTTTGACTCCAGTGCGTAAGTCTGTGACGTCATGTACTTGTCCTATGCCCGACGTCACAATTGAAACAATTGAAACTAACAACCAATCACAGGGCTAACGGGTCATATAAAAAAATATGACCTGGGTATATTCACTGGATAACACAGTACATATGTGCATTATGTGATGAATATAAATAAACGTTTAAATCGACGAAATGCAAGTCAATTATAAAAAAGATTGGCTTACAAAAGGATATACATTTCACATATAAGTTTTTTACTGTATTGGCTCTCCAGAAGAGCCGAAGAACGAACTCGTACTTTAGTAGGACAGAGTCCATATCGCTACCCAGGTTTACAGAGTCCGGGGTTCCATGAGTTTCGTAATGAACTACGCAAAAGTAACATTTGATAATTTATTAAGAAGAACGACAATGTAAGATGTACAAAATACCTCGACAACTAACACAGGCCACTTCTTGGACACACTACGCAAACACACAACATTAACATTTTGCACAGATCGCACAGCCAGCAAGGCTTTGCCCAGGAAAACACAGCTAAAACATATCAACCTAGTTCCACAGACTGGCCAGGGGAAAATGACAAAGAAAGAGACATAAGAAGCTATACCCAGGAGAAGCTACCGGTATAACTCCCGAGTTACCGTGTGTCTGAATGTGTTAAAGCCTGTAAACCAATTAGGGAGGAGGTTAGTGGTAAGGTAGAATTATGCAATGAGAAGATCGGTAAGAATTCCAGATAGCCAAACAAATACAGTTAAGTATAGTACAGACGGAAGTTCGATTGAGAAACAGCCCGGATAATAACACAAAGTCCCGATAGCAGCCTTATACCTAGCACATCAAAAGGTAGATATATTGTATAACGTTATTATTATGATATATATATATATATAAATATAATTTCCATTCATCCATCCATCCATCCAAACCTATTCATTATCTAAAATTTATAATACTAAGGTGACCTAATGTGTTGAAAAGAGCCATTGAAAACCAGCAAGACTCTCATATTTGAAGAATATTTGTAGAATAGATAACCGTCTAAAGGTAAAACAGGTTTTGACCTCCAGTACTTAAATGCTGAACAAGACGAGCTTTTAAAGTTTGTTTGTTTGTTTGTTTGTTTGTTTGTTTATGTTTAACGGCCCATCAACGGCTGTGGTCATTTAGGGCCATGGTTATTCACTTATTTATCTTATTTATTTCAACAAACATGTGAGTAGCGAAGATAAAATCAGATAAAATGGTTCATTTTAAAAGCATTCGCATTGTATGTGTAGATAATAATAAATATAAAAGGGGGTTAAAATAATAAAAGAGATAACGAATAGATGATATGGAATATGTGATATATATATAACGTCAACGTCGTATGAATATTTACTTCAAATACTGTTAATTAAACTGCATTGTATGATTAATATTTTTGAAAGTCCTTTGTTTATTTAACCGTCTACCTCCATTCACATAAAATTATTTATCAAATAAGCCATCTTTCCATCAACGGTCATATTCGGAGGAAGCAGGATTTTGATATAGCTTTTATTGGCATTATCTTTAATAACATTCAGAGTCATTCAAAATCGAGAATATAAATCTAGGTTGCCTCTTCTAATTATAGGTTCCGGAGGAGCCACGTTTGTCCGCTGGGGCCGGAACGACTGTCCCTCCAATCTGACGGAACTCGTGTATGCTGGTAGGTTTGCATCGATCTTCTTATGTTAGACATTTCTCATTGTGACGTAGACCTAGCACAGAGTGCAGAGACGGACACTGAAACTAGCAAATTCAGGGGAAATCTCAACATTTTTCATCACATCTTTCTTAAGGATTCCTGTCCCCTTGCTGGCGACAAAGCACCAGAGAATTATCCTTCAGTGTTTTTTATTAATATATCCCCTGGTTTTCATTATGACAAGTGAGTAACTTCTCTTGACTGATCATCTTACTCTTGTTACTGTTGTTGGCAGTAGTATAGGAATCCGAAAGATGCATGTGCACCAATTCACTCACCTAAACAAATCCCTATATATAGCCTTCTAAAATAGTATCCAAAAACAAGTTTGTTTCCGATAAATAAATGTTTTTGTTATGTTGCACGAGAAAAATACCATGAATCCAGTCGATTAAAAACGAAGTAGAAAATGAAGAAAAAACCGTACAGATTTCTACTTTTTTCGAGACTCGTTTCACTCATTTGATGGCTAACCTATATAGCTTATCTAGTGCTCAAACACATGACGGAATGAGACTTTGCCGCGAAGAGACGCTTATATGCCTGTTTATTCGAGATTGCAAAGGAACGAAGAGACGAAGACATACGGAACAAGTACATCGTGTAAGCGTTGCAAAATTCATTTTGATTATGGAAATATCGAGCAATGGAACTTTGCGGCGCAGTTAGTAATTGCTAATTTTATCTCTTTGTTATCATTACCGTTATGGTACAATACCAGTTTTTTCCTACTGACGTTTTTAGCTCGGAGAATTTCTCTAGCTCATTTGGCATCAAAATAAGAACAGAGTTCCAGGATGAGAGATTGAAATAAAATCACCGCTATTACTTAATTTTGCATTTGTACAATGCTTGCAGCGAGCCGTAAAGACAATAACGACTGTGGTCACTAGTCACATGATTTTGTATCATTGCGGAAATGTCGTGTTAATGTGTATTCATACGATGTTACCTGTTTGTTTACCTGTGGTCACGTGCAGGTGTGTACACACTGTATCATACCCTATACGCTAAGTTCGAGATAAGATAGACATATTTTGAGATTACCTCTGCTTTTGCTTTTTCAGGTCTCGGTCTCCGCGCTCTTTGCTGGGTCTACCTAAAAATGAGAAATGTCTAATATTAATATCAAACTGTACACAGAGGTTCTTCAGTTCAGGTTAAAGGTACCGTGCCGCTGACTTTTGCTCTTTTTCTTATCAACAGGATAAATCTGGCATTTGTTATTTTTTTTACAAAGCAATAATTATTAACCTTCCATCAATATCACACTCAGGTAGTGAAACGTGTCAAAGAAATAAAATAAAAAGTATTCAAATTTCATAATATTACTTGCCGTCGACTAGGCAGGCGGATTGCTTAAACATTAAATATGTTATCATTACCTCTAACCCAGTCCAAAATATGGTCTTTTGATTCTGCTCTCGTGACATTTCGTGAATTCGCGTATGTGTAAGTATGACGTAAACTTGACCTTAATCCTGCTTCTGATGAGATAAAGTTGCAGCCGGGAAAATACTTCGCGCGCTTATACTTGACATTACTTTTGAATTTTAAATATTTTCATATCAATATACTGCTAACATTGACGAAATTATATTACTTCGATTTTAACCGTAGTATTTCCGACATATTGCGGCACAGCAACTTTAAATGATTTTGACATTTTGACTTACAGGAAATCGTAGAAAAGCTTTCTCCTTCTTCGCCATACTTTCCGGTTTTGGTATATTTGTGCTACATCGTGTACGTTCCAGCCTGTTCTCGTTTAATTATTCATTAACGTTTCAATTAGATACACTATTATACAATTGTGTTTCCTTTTGTGAAAAGCTGCTTATTGAGAAAATGCCGCCGATACAGAAGGAAATGCTTTTTACGATCTTAGGTTATGCAGGAGGTTCCTGGTATGGTCACAGTGGAGCAGCAGTTGACCATCTTTGTCTGCCACCTGATCCGGAATGGTTAGAGACAACAGTGGTACCGGATGATTACACGGGGAGGATCTATGGGGCAGAGTACGAATCTACCAGTGGACATACTCTCTTCGGGACACAATCACACAATGAAGAGGTTCCTTGTGCGGTCTGTAGATCTACTTCATTCGTTTCCTCTGTGATGATACCAGCGAGGACGACCTGCTACAGCGGCTGGACGAAGGCCTACAGTGGGTCACTGGCGTCAGGGTACTATGGACACGTAGGTGCTTCCCAATACGTATGTGTAGACGAGAACCCACAGCCTGTTGTTGGGGGAGGTGAAACAAACGACAATGGTGTACTATTTTATGGGGTTAAAGCGTTGTGTGGCTCTCTTAGATGTCCTCCGTACGAGCAAGACAAATTCATAGCTTGTGTAGTTTGTATGAAATAAATCTGTCGAGAACCAGTATCAAATCTGTCATGTTTTTCAAACTATAAACGTATGTACGTAACATTTGATCTGATGTCATTTCCTTACGTTTTAACTCGTCTTGTATATGATCTTATTGTATACTTACAGTTAATTATCAAATGTTGAAATCAATATCGTGACCTGAGTTGTGTGTGTATATGAAAGCATACACATCTGCATGGATATTAATAAATACATATATACCCGATTGGTTTTTTATCTAATTATCAACAGAAGAACAACTAGAGCTGTCGACAAAATGAAAGACTTATACCCCCGCCTGCGCCAAGAATTACAGGAATAGTTCTTGGCGAACATTGGCAAAGTATTGCAAGGCATTTCATAGTCCCCCACATTAAGTGATTTATGTGTGCGCCTATCTCATAATATAAGTCATAGTGACATACTTCTTGTTCTCCGCACTCCTTCAGCCAAGACAAACTTGCATACCGAATCTGACAACTCTAGGTGAAAAAGTACAGAAATATTATGCTATGCCCCTGATAAATGTTTCAAGTTTTAGAAGTCAATTTTAAAAGCATATGTCGCAGTGACACACTTCTTGTACTCAAAGTCTAATTGACCTAATTTTACTATCGTACCCTCCGTCATCCCAAAATATAATTGCAAACCAAATATACATACTACAGGAGAAATATTATAGAATATATGCCCGAACTAACTTTTCAAATGTTAAGGTCAAAGATCAAACCGTGGTCAAATGGAAATAATAACTTGATTTCTTTACTACGGGAGTATGGTAGAATTATTCGGCATCCCGATAATGCTTCGAATAGTACTAGGACCTGTGATGAGGTTAAAGAATCAATCGAAACAGTGTGTGATCTTTATCTTAAAGTTTATTATAACAAATATAAACGCGACAGTGGAACGAGAAATCGATTCCAGTGTATCCATGACCACGAGGTTCTGCCGTAATTATTATTGCATAGATACAGAGAAAGAAGTTTTATAGTATGTGTAAGTGCCTTACTCAAGTTTACAGAACGGTGATTTCTTCAATTCTACCAAATATTGACAGTTTGATCGCTGTTTGTTTGCTTATATGAGGTTATACATGATGTGTCTGTGATACCGAAAACTTTAAAAAAAAAAAAGATAAAAAAAAGGAATTAAATTTTATTTTCTTACGTGCCGTAAAGAATTCGATGATTTTGATGTCACGCATACCCATATGGGCCGCTATACATTTAAAATACTTTTTGTCTCTTCTGCTCTTACAGTCTTTTTTGTTGTTAAATATACTTCAGAAGTGAATGATGAAATCTTTTAGTGACGTAATTGATCTCTATCGATTAAGATGAAAACACATAGTATTGTGTAAACATTACCTCTGACCCTGTCGAAAACATAGATACATTTCGTTAGATTCTACTCACGTGACATCTCCTGAATTTGCCTATGCATTATAATAACGTAAACATGAGTTTAACCTTGCGTCTGATAAATAACAGTCGGGAGAAGGCTTTGCACGCTTATGCTAACATCGATATTAGTAATTAAAAAAAATTATACCGCCATACTTATAATATTAATGAAATGTTATGATTACAATTTAACGTAAGATTTTCTCACAGATTGCGGCACGGTAACGGCAACTAATTAACAACTTTGCTACTTTCCGTTTATACTAGACAAGCTTACTTTCGAATAGCATAGCAGGGTCAGTGGTTACATCGGCTATACCACTGTGACGTTACAATTATCAGCAGGTCCAATGATAGAAATTTCTCACTTTCTACTTTTCAAGATTTCTCACATTACTATTAACATGTAAGAAAGTAAATTTGATTTGATTTCAAAAGAGTTTTCAGATTTAATAGCACTTTGCACGACCAATTAAATTATTCTATTCTGATATACATGTACTAGCTTTGAGATGCAACACTATTTTTTAATTGTTTTCCGCACATATTTTTGAAATAAGAAATCTATTTTTACTTATCTACAAAGTTGTAAGAAACATTACAGGTTCTGACACAAAAAATACTAAAACTGTCGTTACCCACTGCATAGTTGCAAGAGGCATCTAATGCGGTTACTCCGTGCAGATTTTGTTTGCATTCATTGCAACGCTTGGAATTATTATAATTTTTCTCTTCTCTCTAACTTCTTTTTCGATTTTTGATTTCTCCCTGCTTTTGGTGTTGAGCGTTTGCCTAAGCGAGATAATTTGTGATCCCTTGATGAACTTAAGTTGCTACATTTTGCTCTCTGTTCGCGGTTTCGCTTTAAATGGGTGTCAAGTATAATCATGTTGGCCCGATGTCAGAACAGTGTGACGTAGTGGGATTCCTTGCGTTACCGCGTGTCCCGATGCAGCTTTGTCACCCTAGTGGGACTTAGATACAGCCCCTGATCAGCTCCACAATCTGAGCTTGGTAATTTACAAACACTTTGGGTGGTGCAGTGGATAGCGCACTTGCCTTTCACCAAGGCGGCTGGGGTTCGATTCCCCGATCGGACGTGAAAAGGTTTCACGCGCTTACATCCAGGCCAACAAGAGTGCTTAATATAAGTTGAAATAACTTGTTTCATAATTGTTGTAAAATACATAAAGTTTATATATAACAAACGGCCTTATTCCATGCATATGAGGTGACTTATGTGGAAGTCCCTGTGAAAAGCGTGGGAGTTCTCGGTTAATGATTAAAGAAACTAAAATTCATACGCAATTTCAAAAGAGAACCTGTGAACTTAAACATACTTTGTATCTTTATTGTCTCATTTTCGAATGAATCTCGTGTCATCACTCGTTACATGACCTTTATGCTTTTTAACTCAACACATTGATTTAAAGATTAGTCTTACTAATCAACTCACCGTTGTGATTATTTGAACAATGGCGTAAAGAAATAACAATCTGTCCCCTGAAGAATCGGCTAGATAGTGAGACCAGCCAGCCGGCCGGATTAGTGGTGGCTAGATTAACGAGACTCGGCTATATTTCTCATTTTCTTTACCTTTGATTTTAAGTGAAAATTACTGATGAACAATATCAGGAATTTACATGTAGCAGATTAACGACTTACATTGTTGTTAGATATATAAATATCAATCTACTGTATGTCGTACAGAGTCGCGATTCTTTAACCGCTGAAAGGGCGTGGTAGGGGACAATGAACATCAAAGGTTGGTACATGTATATATTCAGAGTTTTAAAATTGGAACTAGAAATCATGTTTTCCAAGTCCCTATAGACCTATGCATACAATGTAGCTGTTCCTGGTCCATTTTGATTATATCATATTATGAAACCAGATATCTCCATCTGCATTAACAATCACACCAATTTAAATGCGATGTGTCTCTTGAGGGATCATAGAAATATTATAAAACAGTATAGTGTGCTTAGAAATAAAATACTGTTATTTGGCTCAACCATAATTCATAACGTTGTAACTTGAGGAAAATGAAGTATCTAGTTTCACACGCAGAATTCAAAATACTATTAAAAATGATTTTCGAAAGATATAAGTGATTTGGTCATTTTTACGTCTTCTGCAAAAGGTGCTTAGATCAGCTTAATGATGAAAGCGTACTTTCCAATGTATCAAATCCAAATTATAAACCTTGTAGAAAGATTCATCAGAAATAAGGTATTCATCTGATGACCTTCAGATTTGTTTTAACTCCCTTCGTAAGCTGTTTTTTCGTACCTACTTTGCAAAAACTAGTTTGCGAATATAATGTAATGAATAAAACATGTATATCTATTGATGTTTTTATTTAAATAATTAAAACAATAGATAGCGTGTATAGGGATTACGCCTATTGTCTCCTTCCTTTTGATTTTGGGTATAATATTCAATACAAACTTTGTCAAATGGAGAAAAAAACCTATAAGGATGTCATTACCAAATGTGAGGAAATACTATATGTACCCACTGAACTAATTTGATAATTTGACAAATTAAAAAGCAAGAGAAAAATGCTGGTCTCAGCATCATTTAGGTCACAAGGTTTCTTTCGTAAGTGTTCAGATACTACATGTAAGTCACATGCTACATAACCTGGATCGATGATGCTGAAACATTTTTAAATTGATGAGTAGCAGTGACAGAAACTCGCCTCCAGCTCCTTTAAATACCATTTTAATATCCAACATGAAACACCTGGTTTCGATACAAGCAAAATAGCCTGACAACTGCAAAACATCATGAATACAGAATGGTGTCGCAAAAACACAAGAAGAGACATTTTCACGACAAGAGAGAACAATCGTGTCAACAGCAAGAGAACGACGCGGTGTCAACAATCTCAGACTAAACAATGAAAATGCATGTGTGTATGTATGCTGGAGCCACGGTATGTTGGTGTACTTGCCGCCTTGTGATAGCGCGGATCTGAAGCCGACTTTATAGTACTATCTCACTGAAATACCATGATGAAGGCACCCAGGACAGCATTCCGNGTATTTATTGCATATATTCCTGTTCTTATAGGGAGGTATATATATTATATTAGTTATGTACCTTGGGTCTCTTACTGCCAGTTGTGCCCGACAGTAGAGAAACGTCTCTGCTTCCGTTAGGTACAGTACTTTGTTTCCTTGTCAGACTTGGCCGGAGTTTGAGATTATCCGAGGGGTCCCTATGATATATGCAGATATTTAACCTTAATTCTTTGGTGTATGTCTTTTCTTTTTTTTAAATAAAATAAAAAAATAAAAATAAAAAATGGTTCTTAGTAGATGGTCTTATGGGGGTCTATAAGTTGTTGGGCTTATAATATATGTGTCTTATTGGAATTTTTATTATATAAAAAAGGATCGTATCATATCATGGCGTTGGTCTAGGAGGAGGGCGTACCGTATCCAGGCTGTCTTTTACTTATATCCTACTCTATTTTGTGTTTTGTTTTGTTCCTATAAATTTTGAAATCCGTCGAATCGTCGAGAATAAATGTAATCTAATCTATCCCTATCCTCTGTGTCGGCGTTAACGCGCCTACTCTTTCGACAATACTCAGAG